TATTAACATGCATGCAAGCGTATTATAGACGAAAGTTATTGGATGTCTATAATGATAAATAAATATTAATTTGCAGAAATAGAATATTAATTTTGTGGTTATTTGAAAATAAATAATATCATGGATGAGGTGATGCTTGTATCAATGGATTTGAATATTTCTCCTATCATTCCAAGTCCTCCTTTAAATGGTTTGCTTTTTACCATATTTGTACTGCTAAAGTTATCATTTTTTTTCTCTTGTCGAACATTTGTCTGATCTTTTTTCACATTATAAATACATAATTTCAAAAATATAGTTGTGGCAGATACAGTAGAATCTGAGACTTATATAGTACATGCTGTAGTAATTCAAGTGCATGTTTTATCTACTGCAGATTCACTTAATGAAGCAAGTACACGGGCAAGCAGTAATAAACCAAGTTCAGTCTTATCTATTCAACCATCTGATGAAGCTCGTCTCAACAATTATGTTTACCACATATTGATGACATATCTTGAAGGCGAATTTCAAATAAGTTGTTTTGATTTCCAAGAGGATAAAGAAAATAGGTCAGAGCTTTTAGAAAAAAAAGGCGGACTATATTTCTCTACTTCTGTTATCGCCAAGTTATTGATATTTCACGAAATCCGACGAACACAATCTTGGAGGTAGTTTTATATTGTTTTTTATTTCATTCTGATATCATATTTTTATTATAATTTATTAATACTCAATTATTGTATGAAGTATAAGCCCAGATAGATTTGAAGAACTAGCAGAAAGTTGTGCGCAACTTTTTACAGGATTGTTAAAAGAAGGATTTTATACTAAATCACTTTTATACTAAATCACAAGTAATCACTCTGCTGGTGGAGTTCTTCAAACTCAGTACGATTATTTGAGAGAAAAAGGGAGAGGAATCTATCTGACACCACCTACTCGTGCTTTAAAAAGAAAAGAACCTGAAGGTAATGATTGTATATATTAATTATAAAATTAAGCAATGTAATTTATTTATTGTTAATAATAATAATAATCTTTTTATAGAAGCACAGACTGTGCTGCACAGTACTCGAAAGGTTTTGAGGAGATTCAAGAACTTGTTCAAGTCATAGATGACAATTATAAAAGAAAATGGAATAGTATAGCAGTAAATGAACGGCAGCTTTTTTATCAAAAGAACAATTTTGAAGCCATTTTCACAACGTTACCTAATCTCGCAAACCCATCAGGATACACTTTAGTATGTTTATTCAAGTTAATTGTAATGTATTTAATTAATTTTTTATTTATATGAATTATTTTTGTAAAGGTACAGGAAGACTTTTGTGTATTCTTTAGCAAGTCAAGTGATTTGTTTCAGAAGAAGTGGCCTTCGATTGCCAACAAAATTGTTAAGTTGGCAGAATCAAAGAAAAGTGATGTTCTCATAAAGAATATTTTAAAAGAAAATAAAAATTGCTTACAACAAGGTATATATTACAGTTTCGACGAAGCTGCGAATGGGACTATTATTTATTAATATACAAAACAAACGTTATTTTTCCAGAAACGAAACCTATTTTAGCCTTAAAGTTACTACCATATTTATTTAAAAAAATTATCAAACAAACCACTCAGTCGTCTGGACACAAGAATTGGTATCCTGAAAAAGAAGAAGTCGAAAAGACTCTGTGGTTGCACATAAAAGTAAAAATTAATGAAATTGCGACTATTATTGCATTATTCACCTAAATTATTTTATTAAACATTGTAAATATAATTTATTTTTTAGGACAGTCAAAAGTTCAATCTACATTTACAAGCAGCGCAGATGAAATTAAAACAGCTACATTTAGACTACAAATTGACAATGCAGCCGTACGTTGTTATTTGTGGAGAAAATCTGAGTACAATAACATCTTCGTTTGTTGTTGTCGACAAACATATGTTTCAAGTCACTTCTCCAACTCAAGCAGTGGATATATGCTTAAAGTTTGTAAAAGTATTTCATAAGCCATTTTCTCATATATGTAAACATGTATGGCAATTTCTTTTGAGGCAAGTTTACGATTTCGATGTCCCTGATTTGAACAAAGGCGTCGTTACTTTGATAGAAAACTTGCGCCTTATTGATTAGGTAACTATATCTGTTCATTTTTAAGAGTTTAATCTTTAATCGTTTAGTCATCAGTAGAATTGATGTGAGAACGACTGTGATGTTATTCGCTTACTCATAACTTAATATTTAAGATAAGTTTATGTTGAAAACTTTGCAGTTTATTATTGTAGGATACTTATGGTCTCGTCATAAATTGTAATACATTGAAAAATCTATATTTTATTGCAATAAAATGAATGTTTATCTATTATAATAAATATCTCAGGATATTTCTTCTATTTAATTGCTCTATTAATAAAGTCTTAGAGCCTTTTGTAACTATAGTTTTTGCCAAAAATTTTATTTCATTAAAAATTCTAAAATAATATTATAAACGTGTCAGAATATTTCTTTCATTCTAATAGCTTTATTAATAAAAGTATTCTAGATAAAGAAATATTGAGATTTACTCTATCATTGTACAACAATCCGCTTCTCTCACGCAAAGCAGTAGATTTTGTTATTCAACAGTTTTCAAATTATACAGATAATATACTTATACCTTTCTTACAAAATAAAATCCAAACGAAACTTCAAAATGTATTAGATCCTCTATCTTACAGTAAAATTAAATTTGTTCTTCAAGAAAATAAAAACATTTTCCGTAGCTATTTTACTGAACATAATAGATTCCAAATTTATACACAGAAAAGTTATTATACGCCGCCGCAATCTTTCGAAATTGGCAAAAGTAATGTTTTTGGCGAAATTGATAATTCGATAGAAGTTGTCGAAAAAAGCGTTTATGCAGTTCACGTTCCATTACAAGATACCCTTCAAAAATTTTTTTCTATTCCTGGGATGTTCGAGGAAACGTTTAAATATGTTAACAGTCTCTCTGAAAATGATACTTACTTAACTAATATAATTCAAGCAAAATTATGGAAAAGTAAATATGCTAATCCATATAAAATAGTCTTCCCTTTGTTTTTGTATTTTGATGAATTTGAATGCGGTAATCCTTTAGCGAGTCATGCAGGAGAAGAAAAATTAGGTGGAATTTATGTTTCTATAGCATGTTTACCTCCTCAATTAATTGCTAAATCAGAAAATATTTTTCTTTCAACCTTAGTTCACGCAAAACACTTGAAAACTTTTGGAAACTCAGCAATCTTCAACTAAGTAATCGATGATTTGAATATTTTATCCAAAACTGGTATTGCAATTAAAGTTAATGGACGGAACGAAACTATTTATTTTGAATGCCCGTTAGTATTAGGAGATAATCTAGGAGTAAATGTTATTTGTGGATTTAATCAATCCTTTCAAGCTCATCATTATTGTCGAATTTGCGTATGTCCTAAACAGTTATGTGAAAAGTTGTGTTGCGAAGATGAAAATTCTTTAAGAACTCAAGAAAATTATGAAGCTGACCTTCTTTTAAGAGATCCATCTAAAACTGGAATTAAAGAAGAATGTGTATTTCATAAAATAAACAAATTTCATATAACAGATAGTTACTTTTGTGATGTTATGCACGATGTCCAGGAAGCAATAGAAGCTTATACGATTGAAAATGTTTTAATGGAATTAATTAAGAGTAAAGTAATATCTCTCGAAGTTTTAAATAATAGAATCGCGAATTTTCCTTATAATGATACAGAGAAAAAAAAATAAGCCTAGGCCTTTATATTTTACTATAAATAAAAGTGGAAAAAATAAACTGAAAGTTAAACAATCAGCAGCCGAATTATTGTGTTTGAGTAGGTACTTAGGTCAAATGATTGGAGACTTGATTGATAAATATGAGCATTGGAAATTGTATCGATATTACCGTAAAGTTATTGGTATTTTAATGAGCCCTATTATTTTGAAAGGGCAATTAATAATTTTAAAAAATCTGATAAAATTTTTACAATGTACAAAATTACAATGTACTATATATAAAACTTTTTGGAAAATTAAAACCCAAAATGCACTTCTGGTTACATTACGTTAGCATTATTGAGTTGAATGGTCCTCTTGTACATTATTCATTTATGAAATTTGAACGAGAACATAAAAATAAAAAAGAAGTGGCTTTGGGAACCACATCGAATGTAAACTTGCCTCTTACAATAGCCATACGTGATCAATTACAATTTTGTTATTACATCGAAACACATGATGGTATTAAAGGTGATATTACCCCTGGGCCGATGGCACAAGAAGCAAATATTCACTTGGCTTTAAAATATTTCGATCCACAAATAACAAACGAAACCCTTGCATTTACGTTAAAACATGTAGAAAGTCTCGGCAAAAAATTTTCTAAAAATACTGTATTTGTTACAAATTTCAACAGTGATGGTATTCAATTTGGTGTGATAAAACGCATATTTTATTACAAAAATAAAGTCCATTTTCAAACTCAAATACTTGATAAAATCGGTTTTAACGATTTTTTTCATGCCTATGAAGTAGATTCGAATATAAATAAGAATGAAAT